GACTAAGTTCCATTGAAGACCCTGGGCATTCACTGTACCGAGCTTGAGGCCTCCAGAAGGAGAATATTGAAAGCCAGAGCGAAAGATCCGTCTTCGACGGTTTCTGTGACGACCACACCGCTTGACATCACCACTAAGAATGGAAAGCCATGGATGTGACCTGTTGGGCTCTGCTTGTAAACACGACTTCACAACCGGGTATACTTTGAGCCCTGGGGGCGCAGGATGTGTGGGGCACCCGGCGAAACAACCCACACACCCGAACGGGCACTCCTAGCCGCACCATCAATACTGCCAGAAAGCAACACTGCGAGCGGATCCCCTCCCCGGCTTGTCAAAGACTGGAGCCGAGCACCCTAGGGAGTGGCACAAAACCCCATAAATTGGGATGGCTTTAAGCTATGTACGCTTCAAAATGGCCACAGCACGCCGTCAACTTCACCCTGGCGGGGGTCTTTGTCAACAGCTACAAAGCACCGTCAATACCAGTGTTTTCAGCTCCTCCAGTTTGCAAGAGTGGCCTCAAACCACGCAATTTGCAGTGTTTTCTGTGGCTGTCCGGCCAAATTTTTTTCGTATATAAACACCGATTGTTTTTGAAGTGTCTAGGCTTCAAAAATGGTCGAAAAGTACTTGGTGCTTCGAAAGGTGTCTAGGCTTCAGTACTTGGTGCTTTGCCTTAACTTTGGTCCTCTAGCAAGGGCTTCTGTTCAACACGGGGGGGGGGTCCTGACCTCCTCCATGATTCCCTGCCACCTTTCGTTCACCCCCTCCTCTCTCTCAAGTTTTATTCTGTAGTTTGAGGCCAGTGAAAAGGACCAGTTCAGCATTTCATTGTTCAATTGGACTTGAGTTCAGAATTGCAGGCCGTCTTGACACTCTCATGTGTTTTCTTCCGCCAAGCGCAGGTCAAGTCGCCCTGAACCTCACTGGCGGCAAGGATGGTGAGGTTTCTTCGGGGCGCAGAAATTTCAAATGTCCTTGAAGACTGTTGACTGACGTGTATATATATATATATATTTTTGTTTTAAAACAATGCTTCTAGGTTAGAGGCAATCGCTATTAGGTTGAAGATTGTTTTCAGGTTTTTTTGGTATGGCGCCACATGGCCACAAGGCTTGCGACCTTTTGAATGCTTCGGTCCTGAGCAGTCTAAAGATGTCTAAAGTCTTTCTACCAGAATCCCAGCGTTTAAAGTTTAGTTTAGGCGTCAGTCTTGATCTGTTCAATCTTGCACTTGGAGGCTTTTCTATGCTTTTTCTACTTTGTCACATAGTAGCTTGCTAAAGGCAGAATGTCCTTGTGGAATTAGGGCTGATGTCCAAATTGATTACAGTATAAAATCAGTTTCCGGACCATTATGAAATGGCTAGTCAACATTGAAGTTGATGAGAGCCATAGTCAATTGAAGTCACCGACCTTTGACATTCAGCCATTTCACATCCCCAGGTGACATGTCAGGAAGCTTCTGGTCTTGTGGTGAGTTGCACATTTTTTGGGATACATATATACCGTATATATCCCAGGTATTGCCCTCTTGAAGTTGCTCAAAGAAACTAACAGGAGGCAGACTTGTACCCAATATCCCGAGTCACGAAAAAAATCAGCTGGTCTTTGGCCGGAGCTCTCATGAGAGGCTGGAGCTGCGGAACGAGCAGACCTCAGAGTGACCATGTGATGGCGTTTCAGTTTTGGCATGTTCAATCACTCTCAGTCTTTGGACCTAGGAGTTGTGTTGAAAATCATAAGATGGCGTCCGCAGCTGTGAAGAATCTCAATGGCGACTGCAGCATAGTTTGAAGAGACCCTGCCAACACCTCAGCACGCACACACACACAAGCTCATATTTTTTGAGTTTGGTCTCCCAATCTTCAGCGGTTTTCATGGTAAACAGGGGTATATATATATATTATACGGTCAGGCGCTTCTCTGGCAACATCATGCCAATCAGCTTCTGAGTGAGTTTTTGCACGAGTTCAGTGATGTCCTGCTCCGTGGGCCATGACCCGCCATGCATTTGCATTCATTTGTGTCGCTGCGGTTGTGATTGCCATCTCTGCATTTCTTTGGCTGAGCCAGGCAAACCACCTTTTTTGTGCGTCGCAAGGGCCAGCACTTGAGCAACGGGTGGCACTTGAGCAAGGGGTGGCTGCACCGCAGACACCGCAGGAGACCAAGTGCTTGTTCCCATTGGTGATCCACGTGGGTCCACACAAAACCGGTACTACCTCCTTCCAACTCTTCCTGCACGAGCACGCCGAGTGGCTTCGGAGAGAATATGGCATATTTGTGGCTGCCAATGAGACTCCGAAAGCGGGGGCCTACATTCCATGCACAATTAAGCAACAGCATGGCCGGAAACATAACGTAAAGTTTGCAAATTCGACCAGAATGCAGGAGCTGTTGGAAAGTATTGGTAGCATGCCTGAGAATTCGCCTGTCATTTTGTCATCAGAGGAGTTCTCCACACTACTGGAAGCAGAGTGGAATGATTTCAAGAGCCAATCTGCTGTTCATTTCCAGCGGTGCTTGAAGATTATACTTGTGCATCGGCAGGGGTCTGACCTTCGGCTATCGATTTGGAATGAAAAGAATAAGGAGACCATCTCTCCAAAATGGAATCAATCGAACAAGCCTAAACACTCGCCCGATCCTTTTGTCATCTCGCTCTTGAGCAACAGTCAAGAATATGATTTTCAGCAGGAATATCTAGACATTCTCAAGTCAGTGTTTGATTCTATAGACTTTGTATCCTACGATTATTTAAATCAGGCCAACTACAGTTTGGCGACTTTCGCCGTTTGCAACGCCACTCTTCACTTCACAGGTAGCCAGTGGAAGTCCTGCAAGGAGAGCATAGAGGTGCGAAGGCCACCAACCAAGAATCCATCCGAGCTCCCCACGTCCTTTGATGTCGTCCGCTTGGCATATGGCTTGTACACCAAGCTAAAAGCCTTCAACCGGACATGCATGCAGTCTGAGTTTGGTTTGAGAGCCTACCAGAACTTGGATGTTGTGAGAATGGCTGAGCAGATGCCAATCAAGTGTGGAGTTCTCAGTGGTGCCTTCAAACAGTCGGATCTGCTTTGGTACAGCCAGACCGGAGCCATGCAACCAACGCGAACAAACCGCGAGATCTGCTTTGTGGATGAAGCGTCTCTTGAGCTGAAGCACTGGGCGTTGCTAAGCACTTTACTTCCACCAGGCTGCCAAATTTCAGCCGAAGGTGAGAGCTGACTTTCGGGAGGCGAACTTGTGTTCAAGCATTTTCACACAGATTTCTGTCTCTCCGCAGATGTACTGTATGGCAAGTGTATAGTTTCATTACATAGTAGCATATTCATCATGCTGTTCCAAAGCGAGCCGCGGATTGGAGGATTCTATGGTGCTCAGGAAAAAGAGTGATGAGGGGTACCCATTTGACGAGCTCCAGCCATTTGAGAAGGTCATCTAGCGGCTTTGGCTCCACAGTAGGGCAATCTCCAGGTCATGCACAATCGTTTTTTGCATTGCTGAGTTCACCATGTCGGGCGCTTCCCACGCAACTCCACCGTGTCGAGGTCCATGAGAGTTGTTTGGTAACACCTAACACCAGTGACATTTCTGTGGCCTTTCCTTCCCACCTAAAACGGTCGACTCGTGTCGAGGTACTTGGTGAATTGGATGAGTTCAAGGGAAAGGTCTTCACGATCCATCCTAGCCAGCTGATTTGCAAGATGTGTCTTGGCCATTACGCCTTTCGTGCGCTTGCGTTGTTTTTGTTTTTTTTCCTCCTTTGGCGTCCCAGAGAGTGTGGAGTGGACCCCCTTTGCAGTTGTTCAATTGAGGAATTACAGTAGAGTCAGTTTGGCGATACCGCCTTGTTTGCTTGGCCAAGACTTTGACGTCAGTGTCCCTTGCGAGATGGCTGAGCAGATGCCCATCAAGTGTGGAAGTCTCAATGGTGCCTTCAAACCGATTTGCTTAGGCACCAGGATGCAACTGCGTCTTGCCGTTTTCCAAGCTGTGCTTGGTAAGCATCATAGTGGTTGGACATCCGATCGCTTGCAAAGCCAGCATCCTCGCTGGGTGCGCGTGGTGATGAGGACTGCACATCCTTGCTGGGTGTGCTTGGTGATGGGGACTGCACAGTGGAAGCACCTCTGTGCTGATTTATCATTTTCTTACATGTTGCTTGTCCGCAGCCGCCGCCTCAAACACACATCGAAAAGCCGTGACACATGGCATAGCTTGGCAGCTGTGCAAGGACTTGGGTGGCGCTTTCGCGTTGCAGGTTTTCCCATCCAAACTTGTAATTTTTGAGACAAGCTTTGCAATCATAAGTGTGGGTCGTGATGCTTCAAGTATGTTATAGTGGTAGTGTTGTAATGCTTCCTTCGACCTACCAGAAGAATCCAGAAATCCATGGATCGATCGCTCTATACAAACTGCCACTGTTGACACGTTGACACTTGTCCAGCTCGCTCGTGCCGAGAGAGGCAGAGAGATGGGAAAGAGAAACGGAAAGAACATCAAAGAACAAAGACCAAAAAAAGACCACGACCAAAAGAAGCACAAAAAACTCATTGGATCTGGCCCGCCTTGCCCTCGTTTCTTTTGTATTGTTATTGCAGTTTTAGCGGTTCGGGTCTGAGTCCAGGACCAGATGGACAAAGGTTGGGCCCAGCACCCACCGCTGCTGGTGTGAGTGTGCATTAGCAGCTCGCTAGCATGGAGAGACCACCAAAGACCATCGGGAACAAGAAAGAAGTAGACTTATATAGCACATGAATAGTATGGACCAACACCCATTCGAATAGGGATCTCCTTAGTTGTGCCCATTGGCACTGCAGTGCTTCAATCACGACCATAAGAGAGCCTGACTGAACCGAACTGCATATGCGCTTTTTAACCTCAGACTGTTTTGATGCGTTTGCGATGTGTATTGATTTATTTCTGGTAGACATGCCCGTCCTGTTCAAAGACATTTTGCTCGACTTGGCCGTTGCACGCCGCAGGCCATGCCAGCGGCATCGAATGCCAGCTTTCCACTGGGGCACTTGATGGTGACACACGGGAGAAGCAGTGCTGCAGAGCGCTTCGAACGGCTGGCATCCAAGGCAGTGGCCATTTGGCTGGGAGTGCTGTGATTCTTGTAGGACAGTCCTGGAGAATGGGGACCTTCATGCCTTTGTCCCTCCTTCATGGAACCAAACCAAACCTGTGCACAGGCCTTCCTGACGCGGAAGATCTCAGTGCTCCTGCCTGTGCAAGGCTTGCAGGGCCCGCAGCAGGCCTGACTTCCTGAATATTCAGCTGCCAGCCAATAGTCATAGTGCTTCAGTTCAGGCTAATACTCTTGGCCGGATATGGATTTGTGCTCCGTTTCAGGCGCAGTTGCCCTCTCGTCTTCAGCTGCAGCGGCACATGTTTCTTCTGGAGGAGCTTGGGCTAGTCCCATCAGTCTATACGACCACAATTAGTTCGGCCATGATGCCACCACAAGCCGCAAGCCCAAAAGCCTTGATTTCCACTTGTAGGAATGCCATTCACTCTCACAGTCAACTGGAACAACTGAGCTGCCTCGTTGCAGTGATGAGGGCCTTTGGACGGACATGTGAGGATGTGGCGCTGGAGTCTTTGGGTGATCCAGCCTTCGTAAAAGATGTCGAGAAGCTGGGCATTGCAGGTCTCAGCCGGAGCCAGAGAGGTGCAGGGCTCTGCTCTATTTGTCATCAATGAACTGCCGACCGTATCACAATATTCAAGAAAAAACATGAAATAACCATTCAAAGCTGTGCCAAAGTTGTTAACGAATTCATCATCGTCCAGCCGCCCCAAAATCCATTGTGAGGCCTAGACTCAGGGAATGTTTTGGCCTTGTTGCCCGTGGGTGGTGGTCGCCTGGTGTCAGCGCTGCAACTGCCGAGCTTCCAACGACTTGGGTTGGAGGAGCCGATGCCAGGTGGGAGGTGGTCACTGAATCCTCAGGATAAGAGAGGGAGAGAGAGAGAGGGAGAGAGGGAGAGGGGGAGAGGAGGGGGGCGAAACTGGACCTGAGCACACGTGCGCTGCACAGGTACAAGTCAGCTTGAACAGAAGTATTTGCCAAGTGGACAGCGGCATGTGCATGTGGATTTGCCGATCTCCAAGACAAGGTGTCGAAGAGGGGGACCGGGCCTGCTCAATTGATCCATGCGGAATGACTCTTGTGCAGTCTCTTGTGCACTTGGTTTCACAATGTGTCACCTAGAATGGCTGCTTCACATTCAGTCAAGGGCCCTATCCGCGGAAAGAGGAGAGGCTTTATTTCAAAGGTTTGAAGGGTGCCAGACTGGCTGCCAGACACGAAGGGCGAAGACAGAAGATTTTAGGGAAAGGTGTGGATCAGGGCAAGCTGATGGGATGTAAAGCTAAGAGTGGGAGAAGATGTGTGATGGCTACAGTGCCCCACAAGGAGTTGGATTTTCATGGACGTACAGGAGCTTTAATGACGTTGACCGTTGAATCATTTGTTTCATGGTGGAGCAAGCGTGCGCGTTGCCAGGGCCAAGCGGGCGGCCAAGCAGGGGGAAGTTGCAACCAGCCGTTGGCAAGCTTTGGTGCAGCCGTTGCAAGAGACGATTTCATTAGTTGAAGCTTGTTTGCACAACAACTTAGTGCCACTGTGCGGCGCAGTATGGTTTCTTTCTGGCTATCTAAGTTCACTGTGCTGTAGCCACCAACATTTAGTGGAATAGGACCCCTGCCACGTTGGGCTGATTTTTTGCGACGTATGACTTTAAGCGCCCCGGTCAAAACTCCCCTGGTCCTGTGTTGGTTTGCTGCTGCTGCTGCTGGTCTGCGGGTTTGCTTTTGCTTTGATTGGTGTGCTGCTGCCTGCTGCCTGCTGCTGGTGGTGTTTGGTTTGCTGCTCTTGTTTGCTCCTGCTACTGCCGTTGCTGCCCGAAGGGGTATGACACCCACCAATTTCTAGGTGCTCATCCACAAGCCCTACCCCGTCTATCTACCTTTCGCCCGCTCCTCACTTTCTACCTCTCCAGCCACAGCACGAATGAGCGCAACCTCCCTTGCAGCTCTACCATTTTCTGCCGCTGATCCATAGCAGATGTTGAAGCTACAAGAAACACCATGACCTGAATCACTACTTTTCTGTACCGTACTTGCTGCATTTGGGACCCACTGCAGTCCTTGTCCTGCAGGCCTTGTGTCTGAGGCCTACTGCAACAAAGAGACAGGAGCTCCCTATGATTTCTTGCCTCTTCAGTCATTTGGTGGAACAATCTCTCAGATGGAGGCGATCCCCAACATTGTGAAATCAACTTTTGTAAATCTCCGTTCGGAGGTTGCCTTGAGCCCTTCCTTGGTACACACAACATGCGACACCTCCGGTATGTTGTGAGCATGATCACGACTTGCATGTGCTTCATCGAATGGAGCTTACATTTGCTTGGCTATCACACGGGCCTAATTCAGTTGGATAATAACCCAAATTAGATGTCAACGCATGATTGACATGTTTTGAATGTCAAGGCCTCTATCTTATTCTGTGTCCAAATCCAAATTTCAATTGCCTGCTCTTGACAGGTGCCCATTCGGTCTCGTGTAGTAAGCCTGGGAGATCAGCCAGCCTCAAGGTGCGCCTCTAACTTGCCAAGAAGGCCAACAGCTTTTGGCCTCGCTTGTCATATGGCCTCGTTTCACGCCGGGTGTTTTCCGGGCGTTTTTGGTGCAAGATCCACACTTCAGATGCCCTGCGGATCTAGGGGATCTTTTTTGCAAATGAGGCCTAGTGCTTCTTGCTTGCGGCCTCCTATCGAACAGCTGATTTGTGAGCCCTCAAGTTGGCCTCATGCCAATGGACGTGGCGGAGGGAAACATGAGGTCGGTGCACCGACCAGCGTTGCACTTCACTTTGGACTCTGCATTGATATTAGGCAATATCGAAACTCTTAAGCATTGTCTTTTGTTGGTGTTTGTCTTCCATTAGATTGCCACAAGGGGCTCTCCGATGCTTTTGGTTCAGCCTGCGAAGACTTCTTGGACTGGCTCGGTGCACTTCAGCTCCAGTCACTTGGTGGAAATTGGGCATCTATATATGGGCATGAAGACTCATGAAGAGTCAAGAGACTGGGCAAAGCGCCTGGTGGATCATTCTCCAGCTCTTAGATTCTTACCCCCTTCAAGGTCTACAACTGCCCTTTATGTTACATGTCGTCCTGCATATTTGGCTGGTGAATTGAATGTTGGTTCCGCTGAGATTGGATCCCAACTTCGATGGAGAGCTTTGGCAGGCATGGCAAGGAATCTGCGAGCTCTGGGGGTTGGCAGAGACTGGTTTGTAAAGGTTCTTTCAACATCCTTCAATAATCAAAGGAAGTTTAGTGTGCAAAACTTCCGTGTTACGGACATTCAACAGCTGTTCAACCACCACTCATCATACACCACTCATCACACACCACTCATCATACACCACTCATCACACACCACTCATCATACACTACTCATCACACACCACTCATCATACACTACTCATCATACACCACTCATCACACACCACTCATCATACACCACTCATCACACACCACTGATCACACACCACTCATCATACACCATTCATCATCATACACTACTCATCATACACCACTCATCATACACCGCTCATACACCAGCTCTGGTTTCAACAGCTCAAGCTCCAGGCAACTCCAGCTCCAGGTGCAGATTGCGTGGCAGGTGCAGCACTTTGTGAACCTCCATGTGCAGATTTCGTGGCAGGCGCAGGACTTTGCGAACCTCCATGTGCAGATTTCGTGGCAGGTGCAGCACTTTGTGAACCTCCA